CCGAAAAGCTTTCTGTATTGTGTTACATCCATAAAGGTTTTCACCTGCTCTCTCTGTTCAGGGCTTTCATCTTTCTGAACGAAAATGTGCAGTTTTCTGCTCTGTGTCAGGAGAGGTGAGTATAAAAAAAAAAAAAAATCTTAATGCCTGTAGGTGGATTTAAGGACTTTTGTAACCCTTTCTGGCACTCTGAGTATAGAGAGGAGTTTCATTCCTCAGACAAATGTTTTCAATGGCATGGAAGCAAGAGGAGTGTAAGCATCTGTTTTCAAGCTTTGTTTAAAAAAAAAGGATATTTCTTGTGCTATAACTTGTGAAACTAGTTTCTGAAAGAATTTAGGAAGAAAATTAGAAGAAAATAGTATTTTCCTCCCCAAAAACTCATTTCACCACAAATCACAGTAAAAACTGTGCCGTTTCCCATCCTCCCCGCTTTTTCTCTTGTAAGATTAATGCCTTTACATCAATATTGTCACCGGGTGCAGCAGAGAGTGGCTTTCTGATGATGCTTCTGTGAAAGCATCTCCTTGAAATCTGTATCCACAGCACAGAAAAATCGTCTCAGGAAAACCGTAGCATAGTTGGAAGAGTGATTCAATTTTCTCTTCAAATTGTTGAAGCCATCTGCGTTTATACACCCAGTGTCATCTCAGGGCTGGGGTAGGGCTATGGGCTTCTGGGATGTTGCTTTATTGTTTTTAGCTGGGTGCTGCAGAGATGTAAGGTGTGTAGCAAGCCAGTGGTTAAGAGTCCAGAAAAGGCTTAAAAAAAAAAAAATTAATAGCAAATTATCCCATAAATGGATGTTGAAGGGAATAGGACCTTTTAAACCTGGAATACTGCAATTGTAGTTGTCGTGAGAGTATGTGAAGGAGTGGACTGCAGGCACTGATCCAGCCTGTGCAGACCCCTTAAATACTGTCTCCTACCGCCGCGGGCGTGCCCCACTGAGTTATATGCTGCTTTTTTATTCTGCCCTCCTTTAGACCCTTGAAAGGTAAAACTTCGGAGGGGATATCACCAGCTCCTTTCCCATGCCTCCACTAATTGAGCAAAAGAGTTTAAGGGATGAGCAGGGCAAACGCTATACCCTCCTGCTCTGCCTAGGGCTGTGCTGCCCATGTAGCAGTGACAATGGGATTGTGCTTATTTATGCTCTGCCAGGGCTGAAGCCACCCTTCCACTGGCTCTGCATGATATAGGATTTAATTTGAAGGAGAAATGAAGCGGAAGGCTGTAAAGCTGTGCTGCCAGCAACCAGTCATTAGGGAAAGCTGCTTTACAATGCTTCGGGTTTTTATTGTTATAAACAACAATATTTAACTTCATAGAACTTTACTGTTAGCTCTTCCAGACCTATAACCAGGAACAGTGAGTAAACAGGAGGTGCTAAGCCTTTTCATCCACGAAAACCTTCTTCTTTTATTAGCTCTTCTCTTTGCTTAGAATAAGGGGTTTTTCTGTCTTTTTTTAGGGGAATAATTTCATTAAAGAGGAGACAGGTGGGGGAAGCTCATCCTGAAATGCCTTTTACTACCAATGTTACTGCATCGTGTGTCATGTGCTGAAATAACGTGTTTCTCCGTATCTTCTCTCTTTGCATTGGAGCGTGAGATCCAGTTCCGGACATACCAGCCAGTTCAAACTTAAGGGCTTGCCACATCCCGTTTTTTTCCAAGTCTGATTGCTATATGTTCAACTTCCCATACACTTTTTTTTTTTTTTTTTTTTTTGAGGTTGCATGTGTTAATTCAGACATTTCTGAAATACAGAGCATCTGCTGGTGGGGAGAAGAATACAGGAGGGACCATGGTGATGCTGCCTATTTATTCCTTGGGGCATCCTGATGCTCTCACCCATCTTCTATTTATCCACACTTCTGAGTTGCTGTTGGCACTAAACGAATATTTTGACTTCTCAGGCTGCCAAAGCCCTAATGCATGTTCAGGTCCTGGGGGCTGAATGATGCATGGGGACAGGGAAGACTGAAAATCTCTCCCTTAAAGAAAAGTTTTTTTAAGTCTTAACAGACATGGGTCATATTGTCATGATTTTTTTTTTTTTTTCTAAGGGGTGTTACTAAATCCAATTTCTTGGTGCTCTACTTAAAGAACAGACCCCAAAAGGTCAAATAGGGTAGAAATGGGAAGAGATCCTGACTGTTCACTGAGAGGTAGTAAGAGGAAGGGGGGAAAAAAAACCCAAACAAAACACCACAAAACCATTCATTTTGTGAAATCTAGCCCTGAAACTAATTATTCTGGAGATCTGCCATGTTAGCATCCATCCTGCTGGCGATGGGCATGGGCCACAGGAGACAGATGCAACCTGAGCTTCAGAGGTCCCTTACACCTTGTGTCAGACACTCAGTGCTGTCCTGAGCTGCTCCTCTTGCCTAAAAAGGACTGTTAAAATTTTTTTTGGGTGGTTTTTTTGTTTGTTTGTTTGTTTTTCCAGACTGAGAAAGAGAAGAAAATCGAGGCATAAGCAGCGTAAAGTAATTTTTAGTTAACGTGTGGACAAGTATGGAGATGGCCAAACTGCCTGAAACAAAAGAGGATGGAGAACACGGTGCTAACGATGACAAGAAATGATACCCAAGGTTTTTCAGACCAAAATAATAACTTTATTAAGGTATCTGAAGTGCCGAAGAGTGCTGGGTGTCATCGCAAGACCATCTTGGTGCTGTGTCTGCAAGGACAGAGGTGGGTGTGACGATGCTGAGCTCCACGTTACCCGAGCATGCTTGAGAGTGGGCAAGGTTTGACACAATGTGATTCTGAACCAAAAAGATGCTTGATTGGTCTTTAATGCACCATGAGTGTATTTTTCACTGCCTTCAAAGGTGTCAAAGCTGTATTGGTCTACCTGGGAAGGAGAGAGTGCTGTAACTGTATGGAGAAAAAAACCTAAACCTAACAACACTATTTTATATGTACCAGGGATAGAATATGCCACTGTTAGTGTCACATCTGAACTCATTTAAATAGTTACTGGTGCTTTTATTCATAGCCAGGTACCTTCATTGCTCTAGTGCCATTGACTATAATCATTACTAAGTACGTTATGAAATAGTAATTTTTTAAAGGTATCTGGTTTTGAAAAGTATTTTAAAATGTGTGTCTTTAAACAATTTTTGAAGCCTTGCACAATGACTAAAGCACTAAACTCAAGCCTTTGAGTCACAAACTCTTTCAGGGGGGCTGCTTCAAACAGTAGCTCATGCTGCAACCCCAGTACAAGCTGTTCCTGAGTGCAGACCTGGGACAGTGAGACTTAAACATGTGCAGTCTAGCAATGTCACCGCGCAACATCGCTGTGATCTGTGGATCACCATTTAGCTTATGGCACCCACAGCTCTGGCTGCAGTTGCTCTGGCTGTAGCAGCCTTCCTTGGCTGCTGTGAATAGTTTGATGGGGACAAATGCCCCAGTGCATTTATGTGGTTTAAGGAGCATCGGTGTTTTAGCCTCTGGTTTGGGGCAGCTTTGGCTGTTCTCAGCCTGCCTGGATGCCACCCAGCCCCAGCCTTGAAAAGAGCTGGAGGAAAGACGGGGATGACTCCTCGTCTGTGCAAGAGGAGGGCTCCTTTTTAATCATTTCCCTCTACGTAGGGCTGTGTGCATTTCCTTTGCATTTTCTGTAGCTGTGGGCTTGGTTCAGCACCAATCGGTACTTATAGACTCCTGCGAGAGCTGCAGTGTGGGTTCGTATTCAGTAATCCCATGAACCACTGCAGTCACCAAGATCCCCAAATAGGCAGCGTTGACACCAGAGGCACCAAACACTAGTGATCAGGCTGCATTTTAAAACAAGAAGTGATACTGCTGGAGCATCCCTGCAAATGGGAGGCGATGCGCTCAGAGCCACCCACGGCTGTGCCGCTTCACGGTCAGATTTGGACTTTGGGTACAAAGCACTCTTGGGTTATACAGGGAAGATGCTGGCGTGGTTTTGCATCCCAAACACCTTCCCCAGACCTCAGGGAGGCTGAGAGCAGCCTGCCAGGTAGGCATAGGACAGAGTTGCCAGCACTGCACTTGCTGCCCACCAGCCCCATGCTTTGTGCCATGGCCCCAGCTCTCGCCCCACACACATTTACAATCACTTGCGATAGGTGGACAGTATTAGAAGCTACAGGGGGTGGGGAAAAAAATGTGTGCTTGCAGCTTTCCCTCCCTCCAATCCATCCCGAAAGGGGGCAAACTCATAGTAACAGGCTGCAAAGTGAAGTGAAGAATAAGTCTTTATTGTGCACGGAGCAAAGAATGCACAGATGGAGTGGTTAAGATCACTGTGCTCCTCAGCACCTGTCCTGGGGTTGGCCACACACTGCGGTCCAGTACAGCCTCTCCGGTGATCCTTCACTCCCTCCTCATCCCACTGAAAAATCAGGCAGGAGGGTGTTTCGCTGCTGCCTGCTTTTCCTTAGAGCCCCAGCCATGGCTCCCATCCTTGGCCCTGCATCCAGTGGCCAGAGGGTATCGGTGGCTACCCTGGCACACTGTAATTTGTAAAAAAGCAGCTGAATAAATAGTGATAACCAAATGGCCTTTCCTGTGGGGTGCCAGTGATGAGTCACCCCTCTCCCCCCCTCTCTCTTTGGGCATTTTCTCCCCCCCAGGGTGCCATCTCCCCTCCTGTGGGGCAGGGAGGGACCATGGCGGCCGCACGCAGGCAGGGACGCACAGGCGCCTCAGGCTGATTTTAAAGAATGTTTTATTCGCTTGTGAACAGACGGTCACATCCCTTTGACCTAGATTTAAAAACCCAGTGTGTACAAAGTCACAGTCACGGCTTGAAGAGCCCAAGGCAGCACCCCCAGAAAAAAAAAAAAAAAAGGCATTAAAAGTCCCGGCGTTATGTACAGCTAAGTGCCAGCTTGAGTATTCACAACACAGTAACGTACTGCAATTAGTCGCTTAAAAGTAGTTCCCTTGAGAAACAACCTTCCGCTCCGGCAGGGCCGGAGTCTGTCTTGTCCGTCTGTCTGGCGATGCTCAGTGCCGCTGGCAGGTGTGCAGGCGGGAGGTGTCGGCGGGGCCGTGCTCTCGCTGCAGGCGGCATGCCAACCCCTCGGCGCACTGGCACCGCTGGAAGATCTCCAGGCCGTGGGTGCCTTTCCGCCGGTGCCGGGTACACACCTGACCTTCCCGCAGTACCGGCTTGCAGATTTTGGACCAGAAGTGACGGGCACAGCACAGCCCAGCCGCACAGTCCGATGAACGCAGGCAGAAGTCCCCTTCCTCACCTGCGTGGGGACAGCGTGGCATGTGCTCAACCCGGGATGCTCCCATGGGGGACGGTGGGGCAGGTGTGTATCCCCCACAGGGGACAGTGAGGCAGGGTGGGCATCCCAGACTGACGCCACATGGGACAGCGGGGCAGGGTGGGAAGCTACCCAGAGGGGACAGTGGGGTCACGATGCTGGAGAGCCCCCTTACCTTTGGCAGTGGGGAGCCAGGCAGGAGCAGGCGTCCGTCGGGGCAGCACCTCGGTACCCATCTCGTCCAGCTCGGCGGCTCCGTGGGGAGGCTCCGGGGGAGTGCAGAGCCCTGCGGGAGGCAGCGGGACGGCTGTCAGCCACGAGTGGGACCCCGACACCCCCTCCCGCGGACACCTCCAGGGTGTCCCCCCTCCTCCCCGCGCCCTGGCCGTCCCTCACCGTTGCTGCAGGTCATGCCGGGGCAGCACATGGCGTCCCGCAGGCAGCGCTTGCGGCGTCTCCGGCAGGCGAGGCAGAGCGGGGCACCCGCGCCGCGGGCCGCCCCTCCGCAAAACTCCTCCGGGCCGCAGTC